CGCCTCCACACAATTGGACAGCATAGTTCTTTAAAATATATAAATAGGGTCTGGATTAAGACAACTACCTGTAGGATGCCAACAAAAACTACAAGGAGTAATGACTTCCTCTTACATCTCAGATGATGTGTTGAATCTCGACTGAGAGATCTAGGTTAAAGCTCTGGCTATGCTGCGTTTTATGCAAGACCCTTCTGTCACATCACCTCTCCCCACCCATGAACAGTTATAAATGAATACTAGCCATATGTTAAATACTAGCCATATGTTAGCCAAACCTGACAAACATACACATTGATAACTACATGACTAATGTACATTGCAGCAAAGAGAGGAACCAAGAATTGGTATATAGGGATTATTTTTTATTAAAATCTGTATCAAATAACTCTACCACTGACAGAGGTAGGCACATTCTGAGTGCATAAAAGATACTTTCTACATCAATACAAATCTACAATATAGTGCTTTGGTTTTCAGTGTTTAAAATAGGGCACTGAGTCACTACAATGTGAAGAATATTGCCTAACATTTAACATTCACCCGTCTTGTTTGCATTTGTTATATATAATTTTTCAGAAAAAATATTCAAACCATATATATTAAACTTAAAGTTTCTCATCTTAAAATTTTCTCCAATATTTAGTGTACATCTCACTTTTTCTAAACACTCAACATTCTATCATTGGAATAATGGTGGCTAATGTAAATTATAAGAAGTCTAATGCATGACTGTTGACTGCCAAGATTGCTAAGTGCTCTTTCAAGTGAGAAACCCACTGTCTCTGGGTGCATTTGACGGGTTGCAGCTAAGCACCTTGGCGCAACTGTCTATAGAAATTCTGTATTTCAACTTGTCCAATAAAATCTTTGCAATTTTATGCAAAGCAAATGGGTAAACCTAATAGACTGACAGCATCCATTCCAAGTCTACTTGAATAAAACTTGTTGGATATCAACATGGCTTTGCCCATCTCTAACTCGGCAATCAATTTGCAGGCTCTTCAAGCATGATCCCCACATGACATGGTTCTTGTCCTTCAGGGAATACATCTTGCATTGTACTCTAGCATTGAGTTCTTTGCCATCCTGAAACTTGACAAATATCACCAAGTAAAGTCGATCTTTCTTTTTGGACTCGCTCATTCCACTTGTTGACCAATTGCACTCATAATGTGATGACCTTTCATCACTCCTCTTAAGTTCATGCTCAACATTTCCTCCAGCAATAGAGATTTCACTGTAACAATAAAAGAAAGGGAGATAAACTATTACCCCCAAACGTTAAGCTAGCCAAGGTTACATCCTGGGGTACTCCCATATGAAAAGGTCGGGGATGTTCATTGGAAATTTTGAATTAAACCCCTAAAGGAGACCATGGGCATGGCTCAAGCTTTATTTGACTCGTAAAAGATACCACTTAAAATAGAATAGACTCTATTACCAGCTGCTGTTTATGAAAGGAGCCTGCGCTAATGGACTGGATTCAAGAGACTGGCAGAAAGCAAACTTAAAAAGGAAATACTAGTCAAGAGCATTTCTTTTATTATTATTTCTTTGAATGCACCCTAAAAGATACTTTCAGGTGCTAAAATAGTGGCGTTTCATCATCAACACCCTAAGTGAGACCAGAAAATTGATTTACATGTATACCCCTAAGGGAAACGACAAGCATCCCCGACCTTTTCATCTGGGGGTCTCCCCCTCCCGCCTTCCCGAGGGGTTACATGCTGTAAATGTAAGGCCTTTATGGAGCTGCAGTAACTCAGTGCACCAGCATTAACCAGTGCTTAACTCTGGTTTCTTTAAAATAAATTATAAATTTAGAAAGGATTCTTAGCCACCTCAGCCTTAGCTGGTTTTCACGTGGGTCCTTGAATGAAAGGCACTCTAACTGGGGTGGAATCAAACCTTGGCCATATTGGTGGTAGGCAAGAGCTCTCTCCGCTGCACCATCCTTGCTCCCCAAAGCAGGGATGGTGACTACACATGTGAAACAACTAGGATTTTAAAGCAAATGGTTACTTACCAGTTAGCCTGCCTAGCAGGCATTCCTATACAAGTTCCTACCCTGCTGGCCGTGAGAAAATTAGGGCCAGAGCATGAAATCGATGAAGAGGCGAAATGTTTGCGACACAAGCTAACTCCCCCTCAAAGGGATGCCTGTCCATTGAAGCCAGGTTAATCCCAGGTAGCCCTTGCCAATAATTTGCTCATCTGGGAAGAGGGTTGCTCATACTCCGTTTGCTAAGGGTGTCCCACCTCATTCCCTAAATCCATACTTAGTCTCTACTTCGGACCAAAACACTTTATTTTCCCTATCCACTCTCATAACAAGCATTTGAATGAGCTCTAATTTCTAGACCTGAGTGGTCACAATTTCCCTGCAGACCCCTCACCTGGTCTTGCTGTCAAAAACAAATGGCTATAGAGCTTTTATTAGAATCTTTTGTTCTTATTAACGCAATGTTACCATAGCAAAAGTGCCTCCTTTGTACCCTAATAGTGGTATGTGATCATTGTCTTTAAATCAAAATGAGCCGAAAGCAAATTAATGCAAATGTTTTTCACGTGTAATTGTAAGAAAATATAAGCTTAATTGATGTTCGGAATTGAAATGAAAGTAAACGTCCAGGAATAAGAAATTTTCAACTGAGGCCCAGATAAAGACACTTTTTAAGGACGATTCGCGCGGAATTCACTTTATTTAAAATTGATTTTGAATTTTGCTTGCTGAGCGTAGAATTATGTACTGCTCGACTGAAATGAAGCAAGGACACCTTGCTTTCTTACCTTACTTCCTTCGAAGGACGAAATTCAAACGAGATTCTGTATGTGGTGTCTACTTGAAGTTTCAGCGTCTGGGTCTCCTTAAACCTCTCGCCATCAATTTTAAAGAACACTGGCGAAGAATCATCTGATTTCGTAATGTTGACATCCAGTTTGAATGCGCTTCCCTCAGTCCTAGTCGACGCCATGATGGAGAAGTGGTGGGTCTAAAAATGTTGTCACGCGATACTTGAAGTCACGCGTAACGTCTTCAAGGCTACAACCAAGAAGAAAAGATCTTGCATTGAGTTGTTTGGGGTTTTTTAAGTGCTTGCCTCTTTGTATAAAAATAATGTTTTTGATCAGGTTGTGTCAGAATAGTTGAAGTATTCAGTATACTTTCGGTGTTGCGTTTACGTTTCCACCCCCTGCCTCCCCACCGATGTAAACACTGACTAAGAGAGAGCCTGGGAACGAGGTTGTAAAAACGTGTCCGGATGGGGGTTAGACATCTGACAACTTGCGGTGATGGTTGGCCCTCCGGGAGCTGGAGATAAACGTATATATGTGGCCCACAGCTAACGTTTGCGTTCGGCTATACTGACAACTGATAAAAGGCAATGGATAATATTTTTCATACATACATGATTATAATCAGGAGCCATAATCGGGGACGGAGACCGTAAGTCTCGGGATTCGCGCGCACCTAT